CGCAACGAGAGGAAGCAACTGATGAGCACTCTCGAAATTAATAGATCCAATAAATTTTGCTGTTTTCACAATCTTCAAAATTTATGGGATTGCGCAGCCGTTGAAAACGTAAGCGGCTTTTAGCAAGTCACGCCTCGAATACTGGGAAAAAGAAAGACGCTAAAATGTCTTAATCTTGTGAGTAAAAAAAGTCGAGAAATTTAAACTCACTTTCTAGTGAACTTGATTTTTACTATTTTCATTTCGAAATATGCGCACTGTGTATTAACACAATGGACATTATATATTCAGTTTGAACAATCATTCGCGAACTGTTTACAGTAGCCGTCTAATGTGAAAACTGCTGCTGGATAAGTCTTTGGAAAGTGAGACCCGAAAAGCCCTTCTCTCACGAAATATATTGACGCACACAACACTAAAAATTAACACACGACCACACCATCTGTTAATTAAATGGCAGAAGCACGTTGCCCGACTTAGCCAGAATTATGTTTCTTTGTTTGTTTGCAGTTACTTTCGGATTCGTTATCACAAGAAATACGTTAGTTTGCAGCTGTAATCATTTCAGAAATACTTCCTTGTAGGTTATACGGGACAGAAGCACTATGGCATCGTTTCGCTTGAGCTACGGTCACTTCTAAAAATCCCGATCCAATGCCTGACAGTTACTTCATGCAAAACAAGAGTATCCATAGTTGATTAGTAGTATTTCAGTGTTCGATCACCCGTCACTTGTCAATGATTCCATTTAGAAAACGCTAGGCTTATTCGATTGAGATGCTTGGTGGTTACAGTTTCAAATATTCTGTTGGGTATTCGTCCTGGTCAGGCCGTTGTGGACTCAAATCTTTTTATTTGAACCCCGTACACGGGCTCGCTTCTCTTAACATGAAAGACGAGATCAGTGTGCAACGATTTTTCGTGCAGTGTTTATGTCCGAATGAGATAGCACCACGGAAGGCTATACGGTGATGCGTGACTGTTGTGTGAAAGTGGGATGCAAAAGGGATACTTGTAAGGTTCTATTAAAAGCAGGTCACAGTACTTCGCCATGAAAAGCATCTGTCCTCAATTCTTATCGACTCTTTAGAACTGTGTCGAGAGCCACGTATTCATTCTCAAGACGCGGGTGAAAGAAGACACCTGTTTTCTTTTCTGCGGATAAAAAAATGAAATGAGAAAGCGTATTCTGAGTGGCAGCCAGGCGCCAATGTGGAAGTTTTAACTGATGGAGCGCTGGTCGTTCGAAAAATTGTCCCGCGTCCTGAACGGGAATGTTTTTAAGTTTCAAGAAAATGCCTTCTTTGGGACAACAAGGCAAATTTATTCAGTAAATTTTTCAGGCTGGATCCCCAGCTCCTCTCCAGACTAGAGAGAATGTGCAACAAACAAGTTAAATTTCAAACGTGCAGAAAAAATTAATAGGCATATGGTGTGAGCGCTGATTGGTAGCTGTAATTTATGACAGTACGTATTGCTCGACCCTCATCTCTCAAAACTCTTCTCAATTTTTTGATGCTCAAGCACCCCACCAACAAACAAACACGTTGTGGAGCCAGGAGACGGGATGAAAATGTTATTTATTAGAGAGCAGCAACACTAGATAGCATGCTTATTCGCATTTGGGTAAAAACGGATTTCGTGTCCAGTCTGACAAAGAGCTTCAGCTGTAGTTAATTTTTTCAA